GGTTACGAACAGTTCTGTCTTCTGGGATATAACTCCCTTTATGCTGATACCTCTGCGGTATTTTGGGTGAACAATATTTAAGGTTGCTTTATGTTATGTTATTAATATCTTATTTTTTCTTCCAGTCTCACACTACCATGGGAGTGGAGGAGGTAAAGCTCCATTCATTCTTAATCTCGTCACTAGATAAATGTGAATGCTTAATTTTACGCTTCAGCAGATTTACCGACAGGCAAAGAGACCACAGTGCAGTCAACACAGAATGGTAAGGGTAGCCGCAGTAATGTGGAAGATAATTATTACGTGCATAACGGGCAACCAGCACGAGGATGAATTTTATTTCTTTACAAATTTAATGCATTCTGAAATAAAGTGGGCCGACAGAAAACCTTTGTCAACCTGAGACGCTGAGTTCCTGAAAATCACTGAGGTTGGAAAGGCGAAGCCCTTGTGGAAAATTGGACGCCTGAACCCTGGTCACTTTTAATTCGTCAAAACCTGATCAAATTGACCCAGACCCAGAGGTCCCGGGTTCGAGTCCAGGCGCTACCAGATTTTCTGAGAAGTAGTGGGTCTGGAACGGGTCCACTCAGCCTCGTGAGGACAATTAAGGAGCTACTTGAACGGAAAAGCAGCTGCTCCGCTCTAGAAAACCGAAATTAATGGCCTTTAGGGTTCGTTGTGTTGATCACGCGACAACCCTCTATCCGCTAAAGTTGGCACTAACTTCGCCGACAAGCGGCGGTCGCTCGGTCGGTATAGTTCGCTTGCGGACTAAAGCCACAGAGTTAATTTAGTCTTACGTGACTGAATTTCAAGCTTCAATGAGAATGTAAGGTGTCCCAGAAAACGATGACACGTAAATTTATGCAGAACAGTGGCCAAGGATATTCGTAGTTAAGGACGAGTCAAAATGCTCTCCGGACATTTTTGGGCGATACCCTGTTTCCATCCTCATTACATTAATCCATACAGTTACATATTTACCTTATTTAAGGACGTTTTCAATATCTCAGATTATAGGATACATGTAAATTTAAAGTGTCTCTGTGTTTAATTAGCTAAGCACTGCACTATGAAGACGTGTGGGGGAGTGGAATTCTTGACGTCGGCACTAGGCGGAGGGAGTGCTCACCTCCACACCCCGGGGAAAGAGCCCTCGGTAGGCTTTGGCGAGGACGATGAGTGGGCCCTAGAGCCGGTATGGACACTACGGAGTGGAGAAAAATGTCTTGCCCCCGCCGGGAATCGAACCATCCAATTGGCTGTAGAGATTATAATCTATACCTCGAGCATCAAAAGACAAAATGATTAATGAACAATGAATCAGAAGGATCTTGGGAGGAAGCAGCGTGAGCCTAGTTTGGTGTACTATCTCGGAATTTGCTTTAAGGGAGCCAGTGAAACTACGAAACTCCTTTTGCGGGAAAGAAGTCCTGGCCATGACTCGAACCAGATACCTGCAGAATACATGGCAGAAGCGTCACTGCATGAGCCGATTTGTCTGCTATCATTTTTAATTCAGTGTGAGAACCTTATCTTGCTGGATTTCAGAGCATTTACATAACTCTTCATGGAAAGTTTGAGTTCTGTCTTATCAACGATGAGACTTTGTACTCTCACAGTGGCGACTGGCAACAAGAGCTGTGTTACGTAAGAAGGGGAAGCACAATAGACAACTGTAGGTCGCGGTGCAAGGGCCGAGAAGGCCCACCCCCCTTATATATCCATTCATTCAAGAATCATGATGCTGCACCACTTTCTGCATAATTACATATATATTCCAACCTCCCTGTGCTGGACATTGTCCACTGTCTTTGGCATATTTGAGATACAGCATGCGAATGACTGGGAATTACATCTGCTCCAGTGTTCTGGTGACTGGTTGTAGCTGTACCGACAGATCGGCTCTTATGGTAGATCAGCTTTAATATCAGTGATAACTGCTGGGTTTGAAGCAAGGATCTTTTGTGTTGGGTACTATATTTCCAGATCTTCTTCGTACTTAAGCCACAGCAATCAATTCTGATTCTACTGATCATATGTTGCTATAACCACGACAAGTTTTGGTCGACCAGTGCCATCTTCAGGGGGAATGTGATACTAAAGAGAAACTTTACAATTCATGTGTGTCTCTGTGAATGTATATACATGCAATTTAAAACCTCCGACTCATACATTTCTTATAAGAGGTGTGCTCTAACGTGTAGGCGTAGGCGTTTTAAAAATATGTAATCAATACAAGTACACAAACTTCATATACTTGTATGGTAATTTGAATCTTTGTAAGATTTGAGGCTTTCACGGCGGTGACTATGAAGAAAGCAGTCTTCTGGGATTTGGCACCGTGTATATGTGGTGTTAACCGACGTTTCGGAGGAACGTATCGCCTCCACCTTCAGGGTAGAAGGAAAAATATAAGAAATCCGCAAGCGAAGAGACCGTGAGAACCGGTAAAAGCAGAATGCTTTTTCCTTCTACCCTGAAGACGGAGGCGATACGTTCCTCCGAAACGTCGGTAAACACCACATAGATACGGATCCAAATCCCAGAAGACTGCTTTCTTCAATTTGAATCTTATTGAAATATAGACAGTTTCCCAGGAAAACAAATTCCGCCAGAGTATTTAGAGTCGTATTCAGGAGGAGCCCGGTTCGGATCTCGGTTGGGACACCAACTATACTGGCTATCCATGGTTTTCTTCAGTCCTTGTAGGGGCATGCCTGGATAGTACCTTGTTATATGCCACTACCGCGTTCTTTCACATCATTTCAACCTCAATATCTGTTCATCGTCCTCACACTAAAGCCACAATGCTCAGCTGCAGAGAGAGAATGATTTTTAACTTTGATAAATCTGCCTTAACTTGATCGATAATGAAATAATAAGCCATACCGACCTGCATGTCAGGTTGACCTCCTAGTAAGAAGAGAGCCCAAGAGATAGCAGCAGATGTTGTATCGTGACCCTGTAAATGAACACGTGATGGTTAATGCTCATGTTTCGCCGCTAGATTGCACTATATATTTGGTCAATATTCGTACTTCTTTCTGCGGGATATTTAACAATGCTTTCATTATCGAGACTACATGGCGTCCTATGACGAATTGACTGAAGAAGTGCAAATGGTTTGGAACGAAGAAGTAGTGACCTATCTGAGGTAATATCCCAGAATTTGCTGGAGGGACAGAGAAACCACGAAAAATCTCAGGATTGTCCCTGTCGAGATTCAAACTGAGCACCTACCGAATACAAGTCTAGATTATTACCTCTATATCAATCTATACGGTAATACATGAACTTAGAGACCGTAACCTGAAACACATTCCGATTTTCCAAAATTTATATCTTTTTTATATTTAGCAGGGCTTCCGTGACTGGGAATCATTCTATGGCCTACATCAGCAGTTGTTTTAAAACTTCTCTTTAGCCTGATTTGTGTGAAAGACGGAAGGGTAACCTGACTGGGAAGGATTTTGGCGAACTGTATTCACCATGTAGTAGCCAGTAAAGACGTTTTGGGGAAAGGGTACGTTTTGTCACTGTTTAACTTGTTATGGCGTAGCTATTTTGTATTCAGCCACTCATTCATTCTTTCATCAATGGTTCTACAGCACTTTGTTGGGTCATGGCCGCTTTTTCACTTTAGTAATCCTATATATATTCGGTAGGACTCTTTGAACGGGGGATCAGCCCGTCGCAAGGCCGCTATCTACACACAGAACAGCATAAACGCTCACAGATATCCATGCTTCGAGAGGTATTCGAACCGACGACACAAGTGTTCAAGCACGGCCACCGTGATCGCCACTAGCCCCTTCATATTATTAAAAATGTGAATCAGTGGGACGACGTTTCCTCCTTACAGAGCCAGCTAGAACTCGGTGTTGTCAGTTCGCCGCATAAGCAGTGACAGAAGACGGGCAGATACTGTTTCTGTTAACATTCTTTGCAGTCAGGTTATCAGAATTAAGACAGAACACGCGTACGACTACTTGGCAACATTTGAACCATCGAGAAAACAAAAATTAATTTCTGTGTCGCAGCAGAAACTGCTGTAAATTGTTGTGGTTACATGGGACACCACAGAAACACCTTGATACGTCTGACATGAACATATGCATACCAGAGCGAGATTCGAACCGACAGTCTCTGTGTTACAAGGTTCCGAAAATGTATGAGCCTCAGGACGCGCGGTCATTTTGATAGGCAGTTAGGTTTAATAGACTAGACGCGGCAGAAATAAATGTAAGAAAATTATAATAAAAAATGACGAACCTCGAAAATGAATGTGTCCACTTCTTCTCGTATATCTTCATTCGAAAGGACGGCGCCATTCTGCGAAGCCTCTAGCAAGAGATCCAGGAATGCAAGGCGTTTCTTATGCCCTGAGAACAAGGTACAAGTACTTAAAGCTGTGTGCTAATACAACGGGAAGTGAGGTAGATAGATAGGCCTACTCATAACAACATTTCCAGCTAGGTCCTCTAAAATGTTCGTGTCTGCCTAGCACACTGCCAGATGTCACATTCTTTGCGTTCTTCAGTTGTCTAAGTCGAGCATGGTGATTTCTCGTTAAAATACTTCAATCCGGATAAAATGAGACAATTCCTTCTCATCTTTAAAACTCACAAATAAGACATGTTCCCCAACACCAAAATTATTTCGACTAACTCTGTCTTGTTTAAAAACAGAAATTATAGACTTGTTCATTATAATACGAATCTGACAAATACATTAAAACGTGCTTAATGCACGTTGCCTTACACAGAAGCTGAAATTCGGCCCTCAGCCTAACAACAACAACAACAACAACAACAACGATTTATTGATTTATTCCTGATATACGACATGCCACAGCTCAGGCTGTTGGTCAGTGGCTTCCCATCGCGACGACCCTGGTTTGACCTCAGTTTGCGTGGGGTTTGTGGTGGACAAATGGCACTAAGGGGAGTTCTCTCTGTCTACTTCTGTTTCTCTTGCCAATTCTGATTCCATCAACTGCTCCATGTTCATTAATCATATGTTGCTACCTGCTACCGACACTGGCATCGCCGATAAAAAAAGCAAAACAAAAATAGTCTTGATTTATTTTAATGACGATTCAAATAGCTGAGAATATATGACATTGGATGACAGACGATTACTGAAAAATTAACTGGAAGAATATGGAAGGAGGCTGTTGAAGCTTAATTTGGAATAGGTAATAATGCTCCAGCTGGGGACTGAGATAGCGCAGTCGGTACCGTCGGTACAGCGACTGGCTACGGGCTGAACGTCCGACGGTTTCGGAGTTCCTAGTTCCGGCGGGGGAGCAGATTTCTCTCTTCTCCACGTCGTCCAGACCCGTTCTGAGGCCCACCCACCCTCCTATCCAATGGGGGAAATTTCCCCGGGGGGGGGGGGGGGAAAAGCACAGGAACAAATTTTTTACCACTATTCAGGCAATTGCCTGGTCTCTGAACCGAGGTATGAACCCGGAACATCATGAATTTGAATCAGAAGTACTAACTAACTTACTGGAACTTTCGTAACAGGAATAAAACTTTACCTTTCAATATTTTATCCTCAGGCGTTAAAAGGGCTAAAAGATAAAGCTATCCTTGTAACAAACCGTGGAGGCTATAGAGTTGTGATGCGTCGAGGTTCCCACTTCCAGACAATTGGCTCACAGATGGCGTGACGTTGTCAGCCTCACGCTCCGGCCGCCCTTTAACCACAGGAAGATACCTGGTACTCATTTCTGTTAAATGCTGGGTCAACCCCAGGGCCATAATGCTGCTGGAAGAATTAGGTCAATTGAAAATCCAGTGACCTCATCGGGAATCGAATCCATGACTTTCCGACTTGTAACACAGTGCCTCAACTAACAATGCTGCCCGCCCGTACCCACACACGTAGAACGCCTATTTGATTACATATTTCTGTCAAGAGTGGCGAAAACTTCGAAGTCTGTCGGTTTCAATACGGTTACTAAGAAATGATTTGATCAGCACAAACAGTCCGCAATTATAAATCACTTTGAAAGTCTATCAAACACGAGCTTAGTTATCGAAGCTCTGGGGGAATTATAAAATATACGCCTTTCTGACCGTGGTGTGCACCACCATTGGGGAATGCCGTCTTCTGGAACGTTGCACTGCATAGATTTTGTAAGACCCGACGTTTTGGAGAAGCGTATCGCCTCCATCTTCACGGTAGGTTCAGTCTGCAGCATATCTGCTCACGCTGGTTCCTTGTTCGCGGATTTTTGTACCCTGAAAATGGAAGCGTTACGTTCCTCCAAAACGTCGGTTTACACAGGATCTACAAGAGGCCGCATCCCAGAAGACGGCATTCTTCATAGTTACCGCTGTGAAATCCTCAAATCCTACACACAAAATTGTCGGAAAACCTGAAAAGTATAGACAACTTCGGAGAGCTAGGGACAGAGGGGTCAGTAAAGGTAAAGCACTATACTATGAAGGCATATGGAGGGAGTGGAAGTATAGCTCCAAATTTCTTGAGCTCAGCAACAGTAGATGGGAGGGTAATGCAAATGTCTCTTAAACAAGCAGAACTGGGGATGTGTTGGGTTCGGATGTGTCAGGACAGAGTCCAGTTAGTTTTTTAAACCGGTTATGTAACGATGCTCTCTATGTCGTGGCTATATACCGTCGATGGTGGGATCATAAGCATGGAGACGGTCCTGTTTCGAGTTTTGTGAACAATGTAATGAACCTTCAAATTCAATACAAGTAAGAGAAACTCTTGAATATCTGAGAGACCATTAGTTTCTTAGGGCCGATGGTAGTTTACTGTGGTTACCAAATGCAATCGAGTATTCCTCTTCATGCTCTGTCGGGACCGTCTTGTTTTGTTCTTGCAGTTTCAGTAGTTCTTTCCGTTCTTGAATCACCTGAAGATTTTAAAGACACATTAAATTCTGTTTCTCAGAAAACGATTAAGCATATGTCGTCACGAAGCCGGGGAATGGGTATAAGTTCTGTTATGAAGTTATTATCAAGGTCGACAAAATATTTAACAATTTATGTAGAATACCAACAGAAATTACACAACGAAGAAATCAAAGTAACGTAGGATTAATCTGTCAAGGCAGACAGAATATTAAAAGTATTGTATAAGCTACATAACTTTCCATTAAGACCATTGTCTTCAGATTATAAGTTAAGAAAACGGTTAAAGTCCATGTGTTTAACTAATTAAGCACTACCCACATGAAGGTGTATGGGGGAAGGGATATATAGATCCACATTTTCTTGTTGGAAAAGTTGGAAGTAAGTGGTCAGCTTCACGACCCAGTCGCTTTACCCCCGGGGAAAGAGCCCTCGGTACCCATTGGGTAGGAGGTTGGTTGGGCCCCACTGTCGGTCTGGACGACGTGGGGAAAAGGAAATTCTTGACCCTACTGGAACTCGAACTTCGATCTCTCTGTTGTCCAGCCTCTAGCCAGTGGCTATACTGACTGGTACATACGTAACAACCGCCGTGCTTAAGGGACGCAGGAGCGTCGCCATCTTCAGCAAAGCTGTGACGCGACAGTAATCACAGATCTGTTATAGAAATAAGAACCAGTGGAGAAGGTACTGAAATGACAGTGAAGAAAAAGGTTTTGAGCGTTTGCTAAAACAATCTATATAAATGTTTCTCTTTTATTCTTCAGAGAGTTACAGTTCTAACGGAGTGAATGAGAGTTTCATCAGTGAATATTTGACGAAGAACGCAGGTAATTTTTAGATATCAATTTTAAGGAAGAGCACAACTCATAAACTAACGACGTATCTGGGTTTATCTCTTACCTTGTTTGAAAATCCGTGCAGAATTCTGACGCAGTTCTCTTGGCGTTTATGTAACAACGTCCATCGGAACAGCCAATCAGGTTGAAGCCATATTTTGGCCTGACGATTTTGAACGATAGAACCAATTCTAAAACAAAATTTGTAAGGCACATTACACAAATTCGATTTCTGATATTTTTAACACTTAATTTATTCTTGATATCCAACTATCTAGGTCTGTTATTGCATTTCTAATCACACTAAAAATGTAGCATTCTACGGTCGTAACATTTTTGTTTCGTTTAAAATGCACTATTTCAAAAAATGCTTCGAGTAAAATCTGTAGTTGTAGTGACACAGGGTCCAAAGACTTCAGCTCTTTATACAATCATCAGTTTCCGGTTCGAACCGAACTTAAGCGAAACTCAGTAGCTCATGAGATGAAACATGCGAACTGACGGACACACAGAAACTACCTCATTTTCTGTATCACGAGGAAAGAATTCATAACAGGTAACGATGTATTAAAATAATATAAATAAATGTTCAAGGCTTGCTCGGTTGTCTTGATATTGTCCTCAAAATAATGCCAGATGGCAGTGAGCAAGATACCTACTGCAGATTCAAAATGCCCCAACAGAAAACTGCAGGAATACTTGCGGGACGGACTTACAAGAGAGTGTGACAGAGGTGTGGGCAGTTCAATCTCGACCTTTACCGAAAACAAATTTCCATCCTTCGTAGCAAATATATTCAATGACGTCATCATTCATTGTATATAAGAATGAATCAATGTTTGGGTTTCTGTGGAAAGTGTAGGTAGAGACGTTTGAGTTTGGCTATTTTTGAAGAAGCCTTTTTTTTAACAAATATAAAATAAAATTTCAACCACTTTTATATTAGTTAAAATTATTATTTAAGCAAAGATTGATGTGATGGATTTGTTTATATGGGGAACTTCTCTGCCAGAAGGTCACTTTTGGAAAGGAATGTGGCTGTTAGAACAGGCAAGTATTTATTACTCTAACTTCCTCCTACAGAAATTTTATTTTCGTTTTCTTTTAGTTTTATTAGTCGTGATGCGTAGACAGCATAAGCGAACTGAACTTGGCGTAGGGACTTGTCATTTTCACCTCTTTCCTAAGTCCACGATGGCTCTGTAGTCCATGGGTTTTCCAATGCACACAGAACACGTACGTGAGAAGATAAAGTCTGCTTCGATATTGACTCATGGCTTTCACCCAAACGATGTGTATATATTAAGTTCCTGTCTTACAGAAAAAGAAAACATGGCGTGTCAGTTACAAAAACCAACTTGCTGATGTGGTTTAGGGAATTAATCACCGTCTATTCCGATAAATAGATAGAACACATAGGCCTAAACAAACACTACAAGATTTCTGGTACACACCGTAACTAGTGTGCTTCAAAGCGTTAACTTCAGATGCACCATAATCCGTGAATCTCTGCCTTCCGTTTAATCACAAAGAAATCTTTAATTTATTGAATTTATTTACTGAAACTAATAAATTTCCCAGCTAAGCGTACTTCTGCTATGTCACAGGCAGCACATTTTCCGCACAGTTCATACTGCGCATTTTAAAAATAATATTAATACAGGGTATAGAGAACTCATAATTTATGAAGTTTTAAAAAATAAGTTGTCAAGTTTCATTGTAATTCAGCATTCCTCATGATCATTCGTAGAGCATTCAACAACGAAGTTCAACTTCCATCAGCTCATCCTGTGAAGTTAATTCACAACAACCGATACAGCAATATACGTAGTAGTTTAAGATTTGAGGTTATCACTTTGATGGTTTTGAAGATTCGTATCTTCTGGAACATAGCGCCGGACTGCATCAGCGGATTGCACGGCGTTACATCTTAGAAGGCAGAACCCTTCAGTTCTATAATTAGTTTAAGGAGGGGCGGTATTTGCTAGTTTGTCGTCATTGAATTTGCATAGAAACCAGACAAAGAAATAATCTCACGTAGCTGCAACAGAAGCAGAGGAATATATTATTTCAGTCCATATTACAATGTTGACTTCTGTCAAAATGGGATATCTCTTAGAGTCTAGAAGTTACGTATATTGGAAGTAACCTGGCCACGTGGCGGTATTTGTATTATAACAACTTACAGGAAAAACAGACCGAGTTTTTTGAACAATGCCGTCTTCTGGGATGTGGCGCCGTGTAGATCTTGTTTGAACCGATGTTTCGGAGGAACGTGGCCGCAGCCACTTGCTCACGCTGGTTCCTCGTTCGCGGATTTTTCTGCCTTGAAGATGGAGGCGATAGGTTCCTCCAAAACTTCGGTTCACACAAGATCTACACGGCGTCACATCCCAGAAGACGACACTCGTCATAGTGACTGCAGTGAAACCTCAGCTTTTGCAGACTGTGCTTCTATTTATTGTAAAGGGCCCAAGGGCGTTCGTATCATCCCCCTCTGCAGAATAATTTGGGAACAACTGACACTTACTCATAGACGGCTTTCACATATTCTGTATCGCTGTTTTCTTGAGCGTTCACTCGTCGGCCCATGGCAGTCTCTGTAACAGGCATATTCACAACATAACACTCGTGATTACAGCTTAAGTTATTCATAGGGGAAGTTTGCTCGAGTCCCAGAACTGCTCATATCCGGAATGGATACTTTGTTTTGGACAGCATCTGGGCCCTAATGTGCGTTCACTGCAAATAAAGGTAAAGTTATCCCTGTGTTTAACTAATTAAGCACTATGCCATGAAGGCGTATGGGGGAGCGGATGTATAGATCCATATTTCCTTGATCTCGGTACTAGCTGGAGGTGAGTGGTCAGTTTCACGCATCTACCGCTTTACCCCCGGGGAAAGAGCCCCCGGTATCCATTGGATATGAGGTTGGGTGGATCCCAGTGCCGGTCTGGACGACATGGAGAAGATAAAATTCTTGCTCCCACCGGGAATCGAACTCCGACCCTTTGGTCGTCCAACCCATTCGCTGCAAATACAGATCAAATAAAGCTACTAATATTGCAGATTTCAACGCAAATCATTTTGTTTTCCATTTCGTTAAATATTCATGGAATTTATAAATCTTTAAATAAAGTTTCTGTGCCTACAGTCGGAGATTATCGCAGTCTGTGATATCGCGGTCTCCAGATTAATACATACATACATATGTGGCTACTTCCCTTCTCTAACACTGCCGGCAAGCGAAAAGTGCAGTTCTGTCCACTGCTGCAGGTTCCTTCCGGGCCGTACAGTGACCCTCGCCACGCCTATAGCAAGTACAGTTTCTGCACTTGTTGCAGTCAGGCTGTACGTTGACAGCAGGGACCTAAATAGCTTTACAGACTCTCTACGCCGGCAGTAAGCTACAACAGGTTCCTGTAGTCATGAAAAGCGCTGTTCTGCATTAACGTTATAAAGACTACAGACTTTCTTGGAAGATTACGGAATCACATCACTATTGAAGCTCTCTAGATACAACATTAATATACTATTACATTTGAAAAAGAAAAATCATTCTGTTAACAGAATAACCAACCGTACAATGCACATTTCGTAGGACTCATATTTTGTTGGATCTGTTCCCATAAGAAACATTATATATTTTTCTAAACATTGCTTACTGTACAGAAGTTAGAAGATATATATTGAAGGTCAATCACTTCCTCCCTAACTTCATACTCAGCATTCCAGAAGACATAAGAAATACACATGGCAGTTTATGATTCATAAAATTGCTCACATGGGCGCCGAGCTCGCTAATATTAGCTTATTAAAGGCGCTGGTAGTAGAAGAGGGTAAAACAGAGTGGTACTGCCTTCCGAATCTGAAATTCCGTAGCGCTGACACGAACTGTTCTAGAAAACATTATTCAACATCAGTAACATTAGAATTTCATGCAAGTGACTCACCACATATAATGTCCAAGGTACAATGAGTGACGTAAGGGAAGATGTTGAAGCCCGCTTCATTGTTGATTTCACGTTTCAGTTTGTTAGCGAGGATCGAACTCTGTTCCAGAAACACATCAATAAAGTCTTCCAGAATCTTGAAGTGAAACGCTGGAGTCAGGGTTTTTCGACGTTTGTGCCATTTCGCTCCTATAAATTGTAGTGACAACACAACACAACAATTATCGCGACATTCTGTGTGACATCTGCTATGGGAACGAGGGTGCATCATCACCAACCGACATTCTTCCGATATGCATGCGCAGATGAGAAGATCAAGCGTACTTCCACAAGACTTCCCTTCTGCAAGTCTGCACACACAACGTATGGCACACCCTGGTTCGTGGAGTACAGGAACATATGTTTTTATTTTACTTCGATTTCAGAAAATGGATTCTTTACGAAACAGCCATAAAATAGCAGCTTATTTCTAAGCAGTAGAGAATATATTCGTAAGAGGAAACAGATATGATTGTGATTATGATTATGATTATTGTGGGACGTGCCTCGTATAGTCTGCTGCATCATTACCTATGTTATGGAAGAATGCATTGCTTCCGTATTTAAGGTCACCTGATCCCATGACGTCACAATCCAGAAGAAAGTAATGCTCATAGTCACCGTTGCCAGAACCTCAGATCTCATAGACATAGAATGCAGTCAATGCGACAGCTGTTGCCTCTAATATTTTATCTCTGGACTGACAAATATTTCTGCTCTTTTGCTCTAAACAAGAAGGAAGTCCTCTAATATTTTTCAGTGACTTCTTTATTCAGTGACCGCCTCTGTGGTCTAGTGGTCAGTGTTCCTAGCTGCAGATCCAGAGGTCCGGGTTCGATTCAGGGCGCTACAAGATTCTTTCTGAGAAGTAGTGGGTCTGGAACGGGGTCTACTCAGCCTCGTGATGATAATTGAGGAGCTATTTCAAGGAAATAGCGGCTCCGGTCTAGAAAACCGAAATTAACGGCCGCGGGGATTCGTTACGCTGACAACGCAACTCCCTCTATCCGCAAAAGTTGGCACTAAACTTCACCGACAAGCGGCAGTCGATCGGTCGGTATAGTTCGCTTGCGGAATGGAGGCCACGGAGTTTCTTTTTGTTTTCTTTATTCAGTGGTTAAAGGATTCTGATACGATTTAGTTGTAAACTACCCAGTGACTGAATCATATACATCAATTTCCGGTATCCGGTTCAACTTCCGTATTTTATTCTAAATTCACTGTAGCTCAGTCGGTATAGCGACAAGCTACTTGCTGGAAGGCCGGGGCTGCATATTTTCTCTTCTCCATAGCTTCCAGGCCTACTTGGGGTCCACCAAACTTCCTAGCCAATGGGTGTCAGGGGCTCTTTCCCAGGAGCTAAAGCCGCAGGTGCGTGAAGGTGACCACTCAGAGCTAAGGTCAAGAATGGTGGAGCTACACCCCAACTCGCTTACATGTCTCTATGGAATTGGTATTAATTTATTAAGAGCAAGGAAAACTTTAGACTTTACTTCTAGTACGTAAGTGATGAAGTAGAAATGATTCCATAGCTCCAACAATGGGTTGAAATGAACTGCCACAACAATGAAAAGAACATCAAGAATCAGCCACTACACTGATAACCAGATACCGCGAAGCATATAACTTACATGAACTGCATCCAGAGGCGGGTTAGGTCACAGGCGAAGCGGGCCGTATCCCAGGGACCCGAGCGCGGCCGACACGCAACTTTTGTAGTATGAGAGGGTCAAAGGCCTTTAAGGGTTTTAGGAGCAACACAAATGATTTGCTTTTCGCCCACTCCTTCATTGGTTCAAATATATAGTAAAACATCTAACACTCAGACATTAACACATTCTTCAGTGCCCTGGGGCCCCGCACTGAACACTGGAAGAGGGAACAGCCTCTGATATCACCTCAGCCATTGGACGATCGCGAATATGGTATCATATGCTTTACAGTTTGTATCCTGCTGTTGCTCGATTAATCGTGTAAATTGGGCCATCAACTCAATTTCAGACAAGAACCGCATATCACTGGGACTGTATGCACTCGTATATTGTTTTACATTCTCCAAAGATCTATTCGCTATACCAATAATAACACTAGACTGTAAAGAGTGGATCCACGTTAAGACAAAAGTACTGAAGTACTTAGTTTTGGTTTTGCTTGATGATGACATCAGAAGAGGTCGAAACATGTAGCGTACATCATCGCATAAATAACAAACACTAGAGATACAGAAATGTCTATTTTGTCTTCATCTTGAACATACTTTTATGTTGTGCTGACGGCCAAATTTACACGATTATTGTAACCTAAGGTTTCCTTCGTGTCCACCAGCTATCACAAACTGGAGGGAACTGAAGAAGTGAATTCACCTGCACTGGTAAGGAGGCCAGTTCCGAGCCAGGGCTGCAAATATGAGTAGTCTCTGCTCTTCTCGATGTGTCTGCTGCTACTCAGGATTGGCTGCAACACAGCAGTTTGCATTCATTCGTGTTCGGACACAAGAAAGATTTATTTCTGCAGGCCAGTATGAAAGGGATCTACACTTATTCTTTATATTAAACATTTAATAATGTAAGTCCATGATTTATTTAATCCGTCTTGCAGTGCATACACTCATTTATCTCCTTCTCTCCCTCGCACTACATTTTTCTGCATAATAATCCCATCTTCAGGTGCTTACTTATCCACGTCAAACCAGTTCATTGCATGCCATGTTCACACATTAAAATAACTAAAATATGTATCTATCATATACATTGTCAAACGTTAAAAATATTAAAATTGTTCAGGATACCACATCGCTACNTTTAATGTGTGAACATGGCATGCAATGAACTGGTTTGACGTGGATAAGTAAGCACCTGAAGATGGCATTATTATGCCGAAACATGTAGTGCGAGGGAGAGAAGGAGATAAATGAGTGTATGCACTGCAAGACGGATTAAATAAATCATGGACTTAAATCAGTGCAACAGGACGCTAAAATATAACATTTAATAATGTAATATAATACACACGAAGGTGGTTATGAAGAATTCTATTTTCTGGGATATAATTCCGCGTAGTCCGTTGAAAGTCAATCGACGTTTCGGAGTCACAGACGCCTCTATCTTCAGAGTCCAAGATTAAACCGAGCAAGAAACCAGCGTGATATCAGGAGAGCAAGCAGGCCAGGGTTCTTCTCTGTTTTCCATCTACTTTCATGCTGGATTCTTGCTTGCTCTATTATTCGATCCTGAAGATAGAGGCGAAATATTCCTCCGAAACCTCGGTTGACTTTCAAAGGACTACGCGGAGTTTTATCAAAGAAAAAATGGGCTCTTCACTGTTTAAAAATTCAGCTCATACGTGTCATATGAACCGCTGTGTCTGCATTGATGAGACTAATGTGTTAACGTTTGTTGGTGCGCACTCGTATGTATCTGAGAAGTAGGTGATTTCTTACTGCAATCACTGCGCTTAAAGGGTTAATATTCACAGTTGTGACGCTAATAATTCTATAAGATACAATTATACATGCCTATTACTGATGTGAAGATAACAGTCATAACCTATTGTGTTTTAGGTTGCAGTTCTTCAGTCCTTTCCTTAAATAAGATTTTAAACACTTTCTAAAAGTAAAAGAAGATAAACCTTCATTATCTTTAAACAACAACCGAAGCTTTCAATTGTTGCGTCTAACGTTATGAGACATATATAGTACCTCAACTGTTTCTGGGAGGAAGACAAGAATGTACGGCAGGCTGCCAATCCATATGCGGTTCAAGCCCACCCGTCTGCCCCAGATCTTCATTGTACCCATCATCCTCTCCAGCAACTCTGAAATCCAAGTTACATTTCCATAATTTAATTCATATGGTCACTCAGATCTTACAGGCGGGTTAGAAGACCTCCAGCATACCTCTCCGAGTCGTAAAAGCAATGAAAAGGGAGCCCAGTACCTCGGGGTATAACTGGACCCCGCTGTCACTGGGGACATAAATACAGGGACCTGGTCTTCCAGCTTGGGGTTTGGACTCAAGGCTGACGGCCTTGCATTGTAAATGAATTTTTATTACGAAATACAAAAATTTAAAACCGGATGACGAAACTGGCAGAGTCTTCTAAGGAAGGCTAAGGCTCAAGAAGGGCCGTTTTGCCGATGATGGTGATACACCTCATTGTGATTTAGGCTGCTTCATATATAGGGTCGCTGTTGCTTTTATTCCAGCGAACATCCTATCTTCGCGCGCTACGTCCCCGGATATACGCGGTTTGTTTCTTAAGAGAAAACAAAGCAGGAAAGTAACGAATCCGGCCTACGGTTCAGAAATTACATTTGTTGAAGAATTAGAGAATGGAGTTTCAAACCTTTCGCGGCGGTGTCTACAAAGACTACTGTATTGTGGAATGTGACGCCCTGTAGTTTCATAAATTTTGCAAACGTTTTCGAGGAAACTGCTGCCACTGTCATGCACTAGATGAAGATGAATTTAGTACATTCCTCGACAACGTTGATAACGACCTACTGGACTCCACGGCGTCACATCCAAGAAGGCAGTAAGCTCCATAATAAAACAAGAAATTGTGGGAAAATTAGGTACAGGTCCAGGTGCAGATCTGAGAAGTACTAATGACCTGCGTTCCTTTCATATGACGCGAAATGAATAGAAGACGCTGCATCCAACAATTCCTTTAGCGGGCCGTTGCCTAGCAACAGTTAGGTGGGATACACAAGGCTCCACTGTTCCGGCTTTCGGGAATTAGGAGGGAGGGATACAGAGACAGATTGACAGACAGACACATAGACAACCAGGTGATCTCATAATCCTCCTTTTATTCTTTCAAAGTAAGGAAACTGGGTTAAGAAACTTCTATTGATGAGTCCACCAATTTGTATCCTGAAATATTTTGGCGACTTCCAACACTTTAGAATAAGTAAATAATTGATACACTGTAATACGAATTCGTTATTTCCCGCCATAATTTCATAAATTTAAGTATCTTTACTTTATTTTTACAGCGTATTTCACTGTCAAACAAATAAAAACTCACTTTCGCAGTATAATTTAATTAAATCGTGAATTCTGCAATTAGTAACTCATTTAAAGACCGAGAGAGAGAGCGCATTCAGTATACGGGTTATCGTGTTACGCGGTGTTGTCCAGGAGAGAGCTTACACAGTGATCTGTGATGAACTCATACTTCTAGTTTGGGGAGAAACTGCACCCCTGCAGCTCTTGCTCCAGCTTCAAGCAGTGATTACTTGGGCACGACAGCAGAATGCGGCTCCGTTTGCATTGCACAACACAAATATCAAATATATTCACAATTAATTCCGTTCAGTATACTCGTATTGGCACTAATGATGAAGTGTGAACATTCTTAGCAGATCCTGTTTCTTTAATTTATTTCGCAAATAGTCGCCAAGGCTGTTCCATCTGAAGATTGGTTTGCAGACCGAAATGTAAATAGTTACTCTTGTACGTTTTTTTAAAGCTGATAACGTGTTTGGCAAATGTAAACGCTAGTTACACTTGTAACTCTAATTCCATAAACAGCTACTGTTATCTACAGGTTGATTCTAAATTACTGTCGGGGTTTGCGTGGCCTATAATTTTCAAATAGAAGAAAACAAAATGAAACTGCTTACGGAATATAAAACTTAACTCAAAAAGTTGTATTACTTATAGAATCAATACTGCAGAATGCTAAACAACTTCAACATGTCCGCCTTTCTTGCAAACATAAGATGTTTGGAAATTATGGGCCACGGAAACCCCGGCAATAATTTAGAATCACATTATAGATCCTAATAGTATTGATCTAGAGAGAAAGTTCTCCTCCTTTCATGAAATCCTGAGATCGTCACGACAGTGACAGAGAGACCACTCTGGAAGTGTACTCAGATTCAGTGGATCCCAGCCCAAAACATCGCAACAACAATTCTATAAGATCAGTTTAATATCATTCTCTCACTTGCGGCTACATGTTCAACCTGCCTCACTTTCGGGGTTTACATCAGAAGATGTAGTCGGTGCATGCCTAAACTTGCGCATGCCCGTGGCACATTTTACACGTCTCGGCCTCCTTCATATGAGCCGAGATAGTTCAGTCACTATAGAGAGGGGTTACGCAATGGACAGCGTCCAGACCGCCCCTGGGGTCCACCCAGCCTTCTGTACAAGGGGTTATTTCCCAGCTGCAAAACTACGGGGGCGTGAAGCTGACCATTCACCCCCGTCTAGTGCCGAAGTCAAGAATGGTGGAGCTATACATCCACTTTGCCATACGCCTACATAAAATGGTGCTTAATTAATTAGGTACCTTTTACAGCCTCCTTCATTTGATCGTGCTAAGGTTATGATGTGAAGAGAACAATTTAGAAAACTAAACATTTTGTATTTTGTACATCCTTTCACCGTTTCCTCTCTTAGGTTTACATACACTTAGCTTCTTGTTCACGAATATCCTGAAAATCTGTTCTCTCCTGAATTCGCTAGACTGGAGCGTTATCTTCAGCGGTCATATAAATGATTTACTTTCAAACAGAGACCTGGTCCCCGGGTATGTAATGGTGTACCTCAGCTGGTACAGGGAATGTTAGTGCGTGGCTGAATTTCTCAAACTATAATTGCGAATAGGAGATCCTACCTTAACATATTCCTAAAACACAACATTGTTACAACAATGAAATATAAAACACTGTCTTAACTATATTCCTCTTCGCCATTTCCACCGCTTCTATGAAAATTCGTGAGGAAACTTTCCAACACATGCAAAATACAGGAAAAGCTGGGTTCATTGTTATCGGCAAACAGAACTAATTGTGTCTGGTGAAGTTGCGATGCGAGGTTTTATTAACGCAACATGCAAACCTCTGGGCCACAAGAATATGTTCCTTGCTACTGCAGAGAGAAGGCCAACAGAAGTAAATGCATCGTCGCGACGTCGCAATACGACGCATATGCTAACGGGACATACAAACAATTAGACCACAACAATGTGCTGTTACAGTGGCCAGAGGTCAACAGAAACAAATGTTTCGTCGCGACATCGCGACGCAATGTATATACTAACATAACATGCAAACAATTAGACCGCAGGGGTGAATGAAGTCTAATATCTGAAGCCATACCGTCGTGTTCCACGTTCATCTCAATAGCATTGCCGATGATGGGCAAATACGGAGGCCCGGGGATCCTGTTTATGAGGCGAGCCATGCGGTCTCTACTCCGCAGATGCCTGCACAGGACCACCAAAAGCACCAGAACCAGCAGCAGCAAAGTCCACATCGCACCACCTGGAGTCCAAATGCTGTTCAGCTTCATCTACAGCGTTTGAAAAACAGACATCATACAGGAATAAAGCGGTCTTCTGAGATGGGGCGCCGTGTAGATATTGTGTTAGCCGACGTATCGCCTCCATCTTCAGGGTAGAAGAAAAAAGAAGAAACTCCGCAAGCGAGAAACCAGCGTCAGCAGGTGCTACAGACTAGTCTGTATCTATGTATCTGTGTACATCTACACAGCGCCACATCCCAGAAGCTTTCTTTATGGTCACCGCCGTGAAAATCCCAAATCTTACATAGATATCATACATGTTCTTTGTACGAGGGAGAGTCGGTAAATAGGTCACAAATGGAAGTAAAACACATATAATGACGTAATGGGGTTTCTACGTGTATCACTAGGTAGCACCACAGTCCAGCTTCATCACAGTCTAGGTAACAGACGCGCATGCCTATGTTCAGAGGCTGGTTTCAGTAGTCAAAGTGGTGACCGTGCTTGAGGAGTTTACTACCGAAGACCAGCGTTCTGTAGTGCGTTTTAGTAGGAAAAGGACTCAATGTAAAGGATATTAATGAAAAAATATTTCCTATTTACGGTGGGAAGTGTTCACCGCGTAAAGCGGTTCAAAGTTGGGTCGAAATATTTTATCAAGGACGTTCAGAATGATAATGATAATGCCCGACCAGGTCGCCCTGTTGACACCGTGACAGAAGCAATTGTGCAGCGGGTGGAAGCGTCGACTCGAACTGACAGGAGGATACAGACAGAGTGTAGCAACTGCACTAGGGTCTTCCCATAGTTTAGCGTACAGCATAATTCATAATGGTTTGAAGTTTCGGAAAGTGCGCGCACCAAGTTTGCCCTGAAAACTGAATTATTAAGAAAAAATGACCCAAAGGGTTTATCTATTCTTGATACATCTCTTACGCTATGCAGATGATGAAGATATGCTTAACAGGATTGTTATTGGGGACGAATCATGGGTGCATTACTACCAACCCGAATCAAAGCCTGGTTCAATGGTATAGAAACATTACAGTTCATCTTCGAGAAGTTTAAAGTTACGAGTACGCCAAGAGCTGGGAAGGTTATGTTGACCGTGTTATGGGATTCTGAGGGAATACTGTTAGCCTCTTTTCAGAATCGTGGCAAAAATGAGAATTCTGCATCGTACGTTGAAGTTCTCTTGGAGCTTCTGAGTAGAATTCGCAGAAGACGTCCAGGCCAGAGGTTACTGCTTCAACATGAAAATGCGGGATCCCATACAGCCCGAGAAACCCAGGAGGGGATTCAATAACTACTTTTGGAACTTCTTGAATATCCGCCTTACAGCCCGGACTTGGGCCCTAGTGACTTCCATCTGTTTGGTCCGTTAAAAACACCATTGTGCTAAAGGTTTCGCTGATGGCGACGAGGTTGAAATGGAGGTGCGGAAATGGCCGAGACAATAGTCGAAAAACTTCTTTGTGGCGGGTTTCGACGCACTGGTAAAGCGATGGGACAAATATATGCGTATCAGCGTTGGTGGAGGACATGTCGAGAAATAAA